TAGGGGGCTGGGAGCTGAGGTGGGGTTCAGCTCTCAGGGGCTGAGAGGCATGTGAGATTGGGCTTTGGGGCCCGGGGAGGGGCGCAGGGGCTGAGGCGGGGCACCCAAGGCGACCTGGAGGGGGTGGGTGCGGGCGCGGAAGCGCGTGCCCCGCGGCTCGGAGGAATACGGTAGGGGCCGGCGCCGGGAGGCGGGGTGGGGCGGGGCGGCGCGGCGGGACCGGCCGAGGAGGGAGCCGGCCGGGTTCCAGCCAGAGCCCAGCCGGCGGCCGCGCCTCCCTCGCCGTCCCCGCCTGCGGCCCGGCGCCGCCGCCGCCCAGCCGCCCCCGCCGGCCGCGCCGTGACGCGGGCATGAGCCTGCCCCGCGGCCCCACCGTCCCGCCGAGCAGGCACCCCCGGCCCGGGCCTCGGCGCCCAGGTAAACAGGGGGGCGCGAGGCGGGGAGGAGGACCTAGGCCGCGCCGCGCGACCCTCGCTCACTCCCACCCCTGGGGTCCCTGAGTCACTTCCCGAAGCCGAGGACTCTCCAACCCCTGGGACCTTCCTACTCTGTTGGGGAGGAGGGGTGCTCAGAGACCCGCCCCCCGAAGCCATCGCCCGGGCCCCGAAACTCCCCGCGCCCTCCCCACCCCCAGCGCTCCTCTCCAGGGGACCCCAGGTCGGGAGCTGACCTCACCCGCTCCCACTCCTACCCCGTCAGAGAAACCCAGGCCCTGCGCTCCCTGGGCCTGCCATCCGGAAGGGGCATAACCCAGCCCGTGGCAGCCCCCAGCCTCCTCCCTGCTCCCCCAGGGCCCTGTGTTCTCTCAGCCCCTCCAAATTCCAACAGACTATTTTCTATAGCCCAGCAGGCGCCCACTGCCCACCCCCTCCTGCACATTTATACCCACAGCCTAGCTCCTGGCCAGTGCCTCCTGTCCTTGAACCTTTTTCTCTTGGTCCGGAAGTCCTGTCCACCTTCTCCCACTTGGGTCCGGAGGTCTTGGGTCCAGTTAAATGCTTTCTGTCCTCCCAAAGGGGCTTGAGCCGGCACTGGGCACTTGGGTGATGTGGGCAGAGCAGGGGCTCTGTGCAGCCTGTCTGTCCCGAGCCATGGGGACAGGGCAGTTGCCAGGGCATTTGGATAGTGGATATGGGGGTTGTGTAGGGGTCTGATGATCAGGGGAGGTGAGGGGCCTGGCCTCAGCTCTAGCAGTCTCGACCACAGCAGGCAGGGGCTGGGCCTGCTTAGGGCGTGTTCTGTTCTGGCCCCTGGGCGTGTTCTGTTCTGGCCCCTTCCAGAGGGCTGTGGCTCCACGGGCCATTCCTGTCCCCCCTACCTCCACGGATCCCAGGAGCTGTGCCCTCTCTTGCCCAGTTGCCTGCCTCGCTGTGCCTGGGCACTGGTTACTCCTAGTCCTTCCCTCCTGGGCAGGGCAGCAGGGCTGGGCATGACCTCACCCCCCACCCCAGGCCAAGGTGGGGCTGCCCGGCTGGGCCTGGACACAGTGTCAGCAGCACGCTTTTCCCTGAGGCAGCTTTGAACCACACTGTGGGTCTTGGGCACAGCTGGTTCTCCAGTAACAACAGTCTAGCAATCTTCTGGCCATACCAGGCAGCGCTGGGACGGGGGGTGGGAGCCCACTGGGCTGCTCACACACCTCTGGAAGCTGAGCTGGGCCAGCCAGATGGGCGGTGGTGGTGGTGGTGGGAGAGAGGATGAGGGGGACAAATCCTGAAGACACTTACCTGTTTGGTCCCCAAATATTGAGCACCGGCTCTGCACTAGGCACCATCTTAGGAGCGGGGATGGAGCAATTAGCTAGACAGACAAGGCCTGGCCACCAGGAAGCTGACGTTGTAGATGTCTGTCTGTGGTCGAGTAACAAAGGGACAGACAGATGAAGAACAACAAAATCCCATGATGACGTGTGTGATGAAGACGGTGACACTGGGTGTTGTGAGAGAGGCTGACTAGCAGGGTCCCTTTGGCCAGGGTGGTCAGGGAAGGCCTCTGGGAGGACGTGAACGAAGTGGTGGAATGAAGCTTGAGACCATGTGAGGGAACAGTGTTGATGGTGGGGAACAGCAAATGCAGTGGGAGGGAGTTTGGCATGTTGAGGGGGGACAGGGCACCAGGGGAGAACAGAGTGGCAGCGATGGGGGGAGCGCAGCCCCACTTTCCTGGCTTAAGGGTCCGGAGCTGTTCAGATGTCCCCTCCTCCCACCGTTCCTCTCTGCCTAGTTGGGTATTTGGTCTGCCTTTGCACCCACCTTGGATGAGACAGTGTTTTGGGTGGAGGCCCCTTATGGGGACCTGCACGGGGGCACTCCCTGCTGGCCCCTGATAATCACACACGGTAGGGCGGGGCGAGGGGGCCAGGCCAGCAGGGGCTGGGAAATGTCCCTGGTGCTGGGGAGAATCCCACAGATGGGATCTTTGCCATGGGGTGGAGACAGCCAGATGAAAGTGAGATGGTGTCCAGGTAGGGCTGTCCCTGAAGCCCTGATAAGATCTGATCTATTGTGGGGTGGGGGGCGCCCAGCCAGGCAGGCAGCCTCTCCTGCTCAGTCATTGGCTGCCAGCCTCAGCGAGTAGCGTTTGTTCTGGAGCCAAAGCCTCCAGGCAGAATCCAGGTGCAGGGAGGGGGTGCTCCCCTGTGGGGCAGGTGGGCAGGGAGGGCCCAGGGACACCTGCCCTTCCTGGGGAGAGGAGCCTGCGGTGCCTGGCCTAGGGCAGGTTTGGTCTTTGGTTGAGCAGCAGTGTTGATGCCAGGCTGGGAGGAGGGATGGGGGGGCCCTGCTCCCCCCACCCACCGGAACCTTGAGCGGGGTGGCTTCTTAGCCCTGGTGGCTGCTCAGAGTCACAGGCCTCATGCCCAGTGCTGGGGAAGCGCCAGACACCTCAGGTCCTCTCGACTTAGTGGGCATTACTCCCTGCTGTAGGCCTGTGAGAGGCTGGCGGTGGCTCACGAGTGATGGGGACAGTGGCCCCAGGGGTAGGCAGGGCAGGGGCTGCCTGGGCCCCATTCCTGACCTGCTGGGCCTCAGCTGCCCTCCACTCCTTGATGCCACACTGGGCTTTGACAGGCTCAGTGTGGGGGCCGCCTCTCTCGCCACAGTGCAGTCCCTCTGGGTGACCCCACATTGACCTCATTGCCTGTCAGATTTGTGGGTCCCACCGTTGGCCGTTCGCCCTCCCTCCTGACCTTCCCGTTCCCCTTTGCCGTACCATTTTGGGTCCCAGGTTGGGTCTTGCTGTTGCAAACCTCGTTAGGGACTGAGTGTGGCCAGGAGCCCCTGTGACTTGGGGTCAGAGTAAACTACCACGACCTCACCACCCAGGTGTCCCGACGAAGGTCGCTCTTCCTGTTGGTTTATTTCTGTGGCTCTGATTCTGGGCCTGGGGTACGGGGCAGGGTAGGACATGGACAGACAGGAGCACTCCTGAGGGCTTGCGGCCCCAGTCACTGGGGGGTGGCCACTGGGAAGATGACTGATGGAGCCGGGAAGGAGCAGGCCTGCCTTGGGCAGGTGGAAGGCTGCCTTCTGGTAGTTTCCCAGCCCCATCCGCGCAGCAGCTCCTGAAAAAAAAAAACAAAACAAAAACAGCCCTTGGAGTTTTCAAGGCAGAAGCTCTGTCCAAAGTGGGCAGGCAGGTGCCTCATGGATTCATTTCCTCATTTAAAGTAGGTGGAGTTATTCTCACTTTTTACCAATGGGGAAACCGAGGCACAGAGAAGTTAAGTGGCTTGCCTGGGACTACACGGCCAACTGGATTCACACTCCTGGTTGTGCCATGTCGGGGCTGCCTCGGATGAACCCAGGGCCCAGTGGCTTCTTGTAGCTGTGTTCCGAAAGGGGCCTCCGCGCTGTGGACCACAACCTGCTAGTCACCCTGCAGGGGACCTCACCGAGCTGGTCCTTGCCCTGCGGACAAGGCAGCCCCAGGGACAGGCAGTGGAGACAGAGCTGGGAAAATTGCCCCATCTCTGACTGCCAGAGTCCCGGGGCGGCAGGGCCATCAGGGATCAGTGCCAGTGAGGGAACCCCAGACCAGACCTTACGGGCGGCAGGCAGACCCTTTGGGCGTGGGAGGGTCTTGGACTGAGCTGGGGTGGAAGGAGTGGATGGGCAGGAGGGGAGCTGAGGGGCCCTCAGGGTGCAAGTGGGGTAGGGGAGCACTACCTTCGGTGCCCCTCCGCTTGTTTGTGGGTGCCCACCGGGGTAGCCCCATTTGTTCCTTGTTAGGGACTCAACAGACAGGCCTCCCGGAGATTCATTAGTGCCAAGCTGCTGGCAGATCCAGCACCACGCTTGCCCCAGGGCCTTGTGCTGGCAGCACAGATACCCAGCTGACCCCAGAAATGCTCTGTTCCCACCCAGTGATCCTGGAGACACGGTGTGGGGGGGAGGTGTGGGGGGGAGGGTCACGTTGCTGGCTTAGCCCTGCCCTTGAGATTGGATGGCAGAGAAGGCTTAGGTGGTGGCAGGCAGCCAGGCCACAGTCCGTTCCTCGCCCAGGTCAGCCTCCATCACCCACCCCAGAACTTCACATTCATCCCTGGCTGTGCCCTGGGCTTGCTGTGTGACCTTAGCCATGTGGCTTGCCCTCTCCGGGCGTTCTTTTCCCATCTGTGAAATGAAATGTTAGACTGGGTCACTGCAGAGATCCCCCCGAGTCTGAGTCTTCGTTACCTGTTGATCTGCCTGATTTGGGGTGGTCCTGCTGGTACCCCCATTTGCTGCTCCATATTGACCTCCCCTTGGTGCCCACACTGTCTCCTGCATCTGTCTGGGCTGGGTCCTGTAATTAGCTCCAGCCCGTGCCCAGGACATGGGGGCACTGCTTGGCCTGGCCAGACCCCACCCTCACAGACTGGCCAGTGTTCCCAGCTCCAGGCCGGGCGAGGCGTCTGCTTCCACGGAGGCCACCTCCAGCCAGCCCAGCATTCCTGAGGCTTATCTGGGGCCCGCCCTGCTGGACTCTGCCCTCCCACCCAGGAAGCAGCACCCGGAGTTCCAGGGGCTGGGAGCAGGGCCTGGGTGGGCTTGACGTGATGATTCTCAGAGAGAACCAGGTACAGGACTGGGTGGGGCAGAGGGATTTGGGGGGCTGCTGAGCTGACAAGGCCACTTGTCGTTAACCTTGCGGAGTGTGGGGCTCACTCGGACACCAGACTCTTGGCCATCTTCTTGGACGCCCCTCCCCCATCTCTGGGAAAGCTGGGGGGGTGGGTCTATGAGGGGGTTTTGCTTTTGGCAAGTTGCCCTGAATCGGCCCCAGAGTTGTGACAGTTGATAGGGCCAGGGCCCAGAGGGCTGAGGGACAGTAGCTCCTAGACTAGACCCGGGGCCAGGGCTCCCAGCCGCCTCTCGCCCTCCGCCCTCACCTCCCCCTGCGGAGCGGGAGCCGGTCCTCCCAGGAAGGGGTTAACTGCCAGCCCCAGCCGTGAGGGAGGGGACTGGGCTGGACCATTTTCCTCCGCTGCCTCCACCTCGGTTTTCCTGAATGGTTCTGCCGTCCTGGGGTGGGGAGGGAAGGGAAGGAAGAAGGGCGGGAGGAGGAAGGGGAGGGAGGAGGAGGAGTGTGGGAAGAGGAAGGAAAAAAGAGAGCGAGACAGCGAGGGGAAGAGAAAGATGTCACTGTCTAATCTCCCTGTCATTTTCATTTCCAGCTGGCGCCGGGCGAAGGAGCTGCTAGAACAATGCTGAGGCGGGCGAGGTGAGGAGCGGCCAGGCAGCCCGCGTGTCTGGAACAGGTGATCGGAGGTGCCGCCAACCGGGCACCTGGGCATCCCTCCCCTCGCCTCCCAGGCCTGGCGCCCCGGGGACCAGGCACGGGGGAGAAACCATGGCGACCAATTTCAGCGACATCGTCAAGCAAGGCTACGTGAAGATGAAGAGCAGGAAGCTCGGGGTGAGCGACCCTGGCCCGCAGCGGGGCGCCGCTGAGGGCTGGGTGTCGGGGAGGAGTGAGCCGGAGGCGTGGTGGCTGCCGGGCATCGTGCGTTGCGGTCTCGAGGCTTGTCGCCAGCAGGCTGCCTGGCATGTGCCTGGGCTGGGCTCTGTCTGCGGCAGCCCCCGCCCCAGCAGGGCTGGCTGGCATCCCGGCCGCTGGGCCACTGGCTGGGCCAGCGGTGGCCTCGGCCGATGGGCAGGCGGCTCCTCTGCTATTGTTGAAGTTGTCGCTGCCACCGCAGGAGCGGCTGGAAATGCTGGGCTGTGTCTGAGCGGAGAGCAGCTTCTCTCTTCCCGTGGCCTCCCCTCCTTTCTCTCGCCTCCCCTCCCCTCTCCTGGCCCCTTTTCCTTTGAGTACCTCCTCCCCCCTGCTTCCCGCTGCTTTCTGTGTGCGCGTATTTATTGCATTTTGGGTGGTGGTTTCCAATGTCAAAGAAAAGTGTTTGAAAGGAGGGTGGGAGGTTGTGGGGAGGGCTGGCGGGAGGGGTGCAGAGCTGATATTTCTGTGGTTTCCACATGAGAACTTTGGGCAAAATGACCCGTTGCCCTGGGACGGGCTGCTTCCCTCCAAGTTGTTGGCAGGTGGCTCCGCGCTCAGCCCTGAGCTGGGTGTGTGGAGGCCTTGGAGGGCACCCACCCTTTCCCGCCCCTTTAGCCCTCAACTGGTGACACCCCCTCAGAAGGCATGAGTGGGGGCCGCATGGATCCGAGTAACAATCTTGATGAGGTTGGCGAGAGCCGCCACTATGCCTCTGCCAACCCCCCACCTCCAATGGAGGGTCTGGCAGCTGCCCCCTCCCCAGTAGGAAGGAAAGCCTCGGTGACTGAGGTCGCCCAAAGTCTTGTGTGTGACCTGGGACTCCTGTCCCTCCCTTCCCTCCTCCATTGCCTTGATGGGGTGGGGGTGGGCGCAGCCGGAGTGGGGTGGGGGAGGCTGAGGAGGGGAGGAGCAGGGATCTGACACCCGGCCTCCTTGCCTGGGCATCAGACAGAGCAGGGCTGGGCTTGGAGAGGGTGGTTCGTGCCCCTCCTCCCCTCCTGTGGCCCCGAGGGGTCATGTTCAGTCTAGGCAGGGGCCAGCGGCTCACTGCCAGGTGGGTGATCATTTGGGAGGGCTGAGCTGGTAGGCATGTTTGCAGTCTTATCTGAATTTGAATTCGTAGCCCCAGTTTGGGGGCCCCAGTCTAGTAGGGACAGGGCCCTGGCAGCCGTCAGCTACTTTGCTCTTCCTGAGAGAGGGATGCGGCCCGCTGACTTGGAGCACGGAACAAAGAGAGAGGCTGGGGCCAAGGCAGGGAGGCCAAGGGAGCAGGGGCCCAGCTTCTAACATCACTCCTGTTCCTATGGCCTCGACTTAGCATGTCCCCAAGGGGCCAGCCGGGCTGAGGCCCTGGCCAGGGCGGAGCGTGCCAAGAAGGCACCAGTCACAGGGACAGCCCAAGTGGCTGACAGGTGGGCACAGCCAGGGGGAGGGGTTGGGAGGTGGGGTCCCCCCCATGCGGGGAATTCAGCTTCCCTCTGCAGACCTGAGCCTCACTTCCCCTGAGGTGAGGGGCTGCAGTCACTCCCGAGCAGCCATTCCTGTCTCAGCCCAGAGGTGGGGGGAGGGCTGGAAGCGCGGCGCGACCCTCCTACCTGCCAGGGCCTTGCTCCCGGCAGGGCAGGCTGTGTCGGAGTGTTTCTGAAGCGCCGATCAAAGCCCTGGGAGAAGTGGGAAGGAGGGCTCTTGAGCGCAGTGGCTCCCTGGGGCTGCGCGTGTGTACCCTGTAACCAGGCAACCGGGGTGCTCAGGCCCCCAGGCCTTCTGCCCCTGCCACCGCGGGCTGCTGGGAGCCCACCCTGGCAGGGTGTATCTGGGTCAGCAGCGCTCATTCATCCGTCCGTCCATTCACTCGCTGTCCCTTCCTGTGGCCATTCACTGTTTAGCAGAGCTCTGTTAACGAGGCTGCCCGGCCGCCAGTGAGGATTCTGAGAATAAAATTCAGCGTCTGCCTTACAGGTGCCCCGCAGCTGGGAGCCGAGGGCTGCCGCGGTTCGGGTGGCCAGGCCAGGTGCTGGGCCGGGGTCTGGGGTGTAGGGGCAAACATACCTCCTAGGGACCCAGACAGGAGCCAGAAATGGCCTGGCTCTGAGTGGCTTCTTGGGATGGGGACTGCCCAGGCCTACTGCGCCCTGTGACCCTGCCTGCCAGGGACCTGGCGCCCCCATGGCAGAGTCGGGCTGAGGGGCGAGTGGGGCCCAGAGGCCCCTTCACCTTTCCTGCTCTGCTCTGGCCACCCCTGTCTCCCTGTGTGCTGGCGAGAGGAACGCCAGAGACGCCGGGCTTTTGGAGTGCCTGGTGACAGGAGGGGACAACCCCAGCCACAGACTCGGGGCTGAACAGAGCCCGAGGCGGGAGGGAGGGGCGAGGGAAGATAAGTCAGCACCTAGGGCGGGTGGCTGGGGCCACTCCTCAGGTGTCTGACAGGCCACAGAGAATCGAGGTGGTTGGAGGCACAGGGGCATTGGCAGTGGTGGGGACGGGAGGAAGGGCGCCGTGCTGTGGGGTAACCCGTGTTCCTGGCTCTGCCCCTTTACCCCCGACACCCTCTGGCTTCCCAGCCGGGGCAGGAAAATGCTCTGGCCTCCTCTCTTCAGGGCTGGCAGGGGGATGGAAAGAGGATGCGGGAGAGCCCCTGGAGACAAGAGTGGGGGTCACCGACACCGAGAGAGAACGAGGGGTGTGGTGCTGTGGGACCTGGCAGCGGGCAGGCGTCTAATCCCAGTCCCCAGGAAGACTCCTCGGTTGTGGCTGGCACTGCCGGAGCCCTGGCCGACGTCACATGCCGTGGGCTACGAGGGTCGGGTCGACTCTGGGTCTAGACAGCCTGTGGTCAGTACCAGCACCGCCATTATTAGCTGTGTTGGTGCCTCTCTTTCCCCATCTATAAGATGGATGTTAACAGAACTGACCTGAGGAGTGGCCCTAAGACTGTGAAGAGTGCTAGTAACAAAATGTATGAGTAGGAAGCACTGAACAGATGTGGGCTACTTATAGTAAATTCAGAGCTGTGTGCACAGTCCACGCTAACTCAGAAGAGAGTCTTTTATGGAACAGCATTTTGGAGCCAGCCAAGAAGTGACGCCCTTTCGATTTGGGGACAGGCTCTCTCCCAGGGAGGTGGCACTGCTGGTGACGCCGCCCCAGGCTGCCCCAGGCTGGGGCTCCAGTGAAGGCTTGCGGCAGTGCCCCCTGCGGCAGGCGGGGCAACTGCAGGGCCGTGCTGGCTGGGGTGGGAGCGGTCCGGGTAGGCCTGACCCCCTGCCATCTTGCCCCACAGATCTACCGGAGGTGCTGGCTGGTGTTCCGGAAATCCTCCAGCAAGGGGCCCCAGCGGCTGGAGAAGTATCCGGATGAGAAGTCAGTGTGCCTGCGAGGCTGCCCCAAGGTTAGGGGGCCTGGGCCCTAGCTCCCCCAGCCCGTAAGCAAAGACGATTTGCTGAGTCCTGAGGTCTGACAGCACCCTCCTGGGGGTGGCAGAGCCATGGGGGATGCTGGGGGGGGGCACGCTAACCTGGCTAAGTCCCTTGTGGATGCTGTCCCAGGTGACTGAGATCAGCAATGTCAAATGTGTCACACGGCTCCCCAAGGAGACCAAGCGGCAGGCGGTGGCCATCATATTCACGGATGACTCGGCACGTACCTTCACCTGCGACTCAGGTGAGGCACTGGGGCGCAGGCCTCCGTGTGGTCTCCCTGGGCATGGCTGGCGGTCTGGCCAGGAGGCAGAGCAGGGCTAGCCCTGGGTGGAGATGGTGACGCGGGGCGCCTCTGAGGGAGCAGGCCCCCAGAATCGAGGTAGGGCAGGCAGGCGGAATCCACTGCCATTGCCCTCCCTTCTGGGCACGGTGGGGTAATGCAGCCTGAGGCAGGCGGGTCAGCTGCTGGGGATGCTGAGCTGGCAGCATGTTGAGGTCCCGTTTTCTGCAGAGCTGGAGGCTGAAGAATGGTACAAGACATTATCCGTGGAGTGTCTGGGGTCACGGCTAAACGACATCAGTTTGGGAGAGCCTGATCTCCTGGCCCCAGGGGTGCAGTGTGAGCAGACAGGTGAGGCCTGGCCCTGGCCCTGGGGTTGGGGAGGGGAGGGGAGGAAGAGGAGGGGAGGAGGGCCCTCTCTTGGACATCTCCAGGCCCACTGTGCTCCCTCCTGCTGCAGACCGCTTCAATGTCTTCCTGCTGCCCTGCCCCAACCTGGACGTGTACGGCGAGTGCAAGCTGCAGATCACCCACGAGAACATCTACCTCTGGGACATACACAACCCCCGCGTGAAGCTCGTCTCGTGGCCCCTCTGCTCATTGCGCCGCTATGGCCGGGACGCCACACGCTTTACCTTTGAGGCTGGCCGGTAGGACCCTCTAGCCTCCCCACCCCTGTCCCTCTGTGGTCACAGTGGTGGCTGCCATTCGCTCTGTGTCAGGCACCGTGTAGGAACTTGATTTATTTATTGGCCTAGTGATCCAAAGGGGAATGTAATGTTCCCATTTTATAGATGAAGAAACCAAGGCTCAGAAAAGTAACTTGCCCATGGCAGGCAGATCCAGTGAAGCTATTTACCAAAAGTTCGACTGCTTGGGCTTGAGTTGAGTCCTGGCACTGGCACTTACTAGCTCTGTGACTGTGGACCTCAGTGTGTTTCCTCATCTGTCAAATAGGTGACAATAAAAGTAGCTACCCTCACAGAATTGTGGTGAGGATTGGTATCCCCTGTCTTGAACTCTGGAGTCAGCTTGTTTACACTGAAATTCTGTATAATCCTTTGTATAACCTCGGTCGAGTTACTTGTCTCCTGTGTGCCTCGGTTTCATCTGTAAAATTGTTTGAGAAAACACATAATAATGAGGAAATTCAGTAATGCACAGACCAAGAGGGTGGTGGTGGAGAAAACTGGGTTAATTTCCGTGAAGCGTTTAGACCACCCCACCTAACTCACGGAAAATGCTCAGTACGTTTGCACCGTGTGGTCAGATTCCCAGACCACAGCCCTGCTGTTCCCCAGGCCGGGGGTGCAGCCACAGCTTGTGGTGGCGTCCCCACCACCTTGCCCCCGTGTCTCCTGCATCCCCAGGATGTGCGATGCTGGCGAAGGGCTCTACACCTTCCAGACACAGGAGGGGGAGCAGATTTACCAGCGGGTCCACAGTGCCACCCTGGCCATCGCCGAGCAGCACAAGCGGGTCCTGCTGGAGATGGAGAAGAACGTGAGGGTGAGCGGTGGCCATCAGTCCAGCGTGCGGGGAGGCAGGTGCCTGGGGTCTGCCCGCTAAGTCTCCTGCCATGTGTGGAGGCAGGCAGGGTACTGGGCTGTCCCCGGAGCTAACAGGAGGGCCCCTCCCCTCTACCCCACAGCTGCTGAACAAGGGCACAGAACACTACTCGTACCCCTGCACACCCACCACCATGCTGCCCCGCAGTGCCTACTGGCACCACATCACGGGTTCCCAGAACATCGCCGAAGCCTCCAGCTATGCCGGTGAGTCACTTCCGTGCCCCACACCTACAGAGTGACCACCCAGAGACACAAGCTAGCCTGAAGAGGGGAACTGGGGTCCAGAGGCCTTTGGGGAGGGAGGCAGAGCTGGCTGGCTCAGCTAAGTGGCACGAGGACACGTGAAGGAGGGTACGTTGTGCTCTTTACTGCCAGGCTCTGTGGGGATGGGGCCTGCTGGGCAGGGGTCTTTTGACCTAGATCTCAGTTCTGAGCTGCTTCTGTGCCCACAGATGAGGGGTATGGGGCAGCCCAGGCCAGCTCAGAAACGGACCTCCTCAACAGATTCATCCTGCTAAAGCCAAAGCCCAGCCAGGGGGACAGCAGCGAGGCCAAGACCCCATCCCAGTGACAGCAGCGCTGGCGAACACATAAGATTGCTGGGGGCTGCCTGCAGCGTACGGTGGACAGCCAGCCCCAAGGGGCTGTTGGCCAAGAGCCTGGAGAAAGGGGGCAAGCTGTCCCCTCCTTGCCCCCAAGGGTGAGGCTGGACAAGGCAAAGGGCTGGCCACACCACCTGAGCATGTGTGAGGGGCTGGCGCTACCGTGGGACTATATACTGTTAATGATTTTAATATATATGGCTTATGACATATTCTATATTAATGAGATTGCCCCCTCTATCCCTCCCCGCCAACACATCCCCATTTTTTAATCCCACAACCAGGCCACGGTCAGGGCTGGTTTTGAGTACGAGGGCAGCGGTTTCCCTGTCCTCCGTGGCACACCCCTCTGCTGCCAGGACCTGTTTGAACTGCCCAGGGCCAGAGGAGGGGGACAGTCAGAACTCAAGGCTGGCATTCTGACTGCTGGCTTTTCCCAGGCAGCCCAGGGCCCGAGACAGCAGGTGGCTTCCCAGTTCCTCTGGGCCTAGAATGGCACAGGAAGGATCTAAATTTCCACTGTGTCACTTGCCAGCCTTGTACTTGGAGTCTGAAGCAGAGGTGACATCTGGTTGATGCCTCAGGTGAAAATCTGGTTTTAAAATGCAATTTCCACACAGGCTCCTTCCTGCTTAGTAGGCTGAGCAGATGCCCTCGGGCTGGGGGTGCCGACTCCCTCAGCCTTGCGGAGGAAGGCAGGGCTGCTGTGGGGAGCACGCCCGCTGCCCCTCTCGCTGACCAGGGCTGGACAATGCCCCAGCAGAGGGAGCCCCTCCGCCCGGTGTCTGGCCGCCCTGGGCCAGCGAAAGCACTCGGAAAGCAAGACCTTCCCACTTTCTCCTCCCCACACGGTGCTGAGGCTCCCTGCTGAAACGCAATTAAAGCAATTCATTTTCTAGTGCTGGTATTTATCGACTACCATGCAGAAGGGCTATCTTTCTATTCTTATCAAACCTTTGGTTGCGTGGTTTTTTGGTTTTTGGTTTTTTAAAAAATACTTTAGGGTTCTGATTTGTGGGACTTGACCTTGTAAATAACCACTATTCAAGTTGTGGCAGGAGGACGATAACGAGGCCCCTCCCAAAGGAGCCCTAGAGCCAGGGAGGTGGCTTAGCCAGCTCAGCTCGGACCACCCAGAGGCATGAGCTTCCCTGAAGAGGGGAACTGGGGTCCAAAGGCCTTTGGGGAGGGAGGCGGAGCTGGCTGGCTCAGCTAAGTGGCACGATGACGCATGAAGGAGATTATGTTGTGCTCTTTATTGCCAAAAATAAACACTTTTAAAAAGACAACTACTGTTAATCAATAAATATCCCTTCCTTTCTGTACTGGATCTCTGGTTTTCTCCAGGCTGCCTAATTAACTGCTTTGGGTCTGTTCCCAGCTGGAGACAGTGCTAAGGGGTAAGGCCAAAACCTTCATATGGAGAAATGAATACTGCACGGGGGAGGGGCCCCTGCCCCGCCCCCACACTAACTGATCAGGCCATGAAGACTGATGTCGTATAACTGCTGGGTAGAGAATGAAGTATCGTGTCTATCTGCGGGGGAAGCGCACAGCCAGGGTCTAAGGCTATTCTCAAAAGGTTACGTCTCAAATTAAGGACACCTGGGAATCTGAAGTACCAATAGGCTGGCCCCGGAGAAAGGACCAAAAGGGTTTACAGGCTTCCTCAGTGAAGATTCTCACACTCAGTCCTAACACCAGAAACGTAAGGTACGACTGTGAAAATGCCTCCTTTTGGGCAGAAAGGGTTTAAAGCAAAGAGCTGGAATGACCAGGAGAGGAGAGGTCCAGCTCAGCTGTTCTGAGCAAGGAGGCAGCACAGCCCCTGCAGGTGTGTTAGGAAACAGGACGGAAGGGATGTCTGGGGTTCTGGGGAGCACTGTTGGCTATTAGTAGGCACGGCCAGTAAAAAACTATCCTGCCTGAATAGCAGTGACATCCCTAGTAATCTATCTATGACCCCCTTCTAGTTGGTACTGATGACTTGCCAAGAAGCTTAAGCAACAGCAGAACAGATCTCAGGAACTAGAATTCTCAGACACCCAAAACCCCGCTGCTGGCTTGAATCCCTCTGTGCTGACACAGGCGGGTGGCAGCTAGTTTATGGTGAGTACATCACTCTGGATCTCGTGGCTTAATTGAGTCTGTAAATCACTCAGCTTCTTCTTCAGTCCGGAGAGGGCTGAGAGGACAATGGTTTCGGGGCGCAGAGAGCCACAGGACTCCACGTTGTAGTAAAACCTAGGAGGCGAGAGTCCAGTGAGAGTCCTCGCGAGGCAGGCTGGCCATCCTGAACTGCGACCACCCACAACCCTTCCTCCTCCTCCTGGGCCCTGACTGCGTTCCCACCAGGAACTGACCTCCTTCCATCTAAGACCTCTTACAGAGTGGCCCCAACCCACTCTGCAGGACCCCAAGGAGCCCACAGTACCTAATAAGGAACCGTGAAAACCCCAAACCATTCCGTGTGTGCATCCCATACTGACGCGGAAAATCCAGTCAGTGGTGACCACGTGCTGCAGCCCCTTCACATTCATCACTGCAGGGCCTCGGTCCAAATTTCTGCCCCCAGCTTGGACCTCAAGAGTCTCTTCTTTGGGGGTGCAAAGTCAAAACAGGGACAACTTGTATAATTAGAGGGCCTCTCTTTCTCAGTGACCCAAAAGGGGACGATGACTGGCCCTAGGGATGTGCCACACCACAGGCTTAGTTTAGCAGTTAGTGGCCCCTGCTCGGCTTATGAGGCCTGGGACGTCAGGCAGAGGGGCTGCCTGACTCAGAGCCTGCACCACAACCACATTCTTACACACTCCGCCTTCCCGTGTCGGACCAGCGGCTTACCTCTCCGGCTTGCCGTTGGGGTCATAGGGAGCCTGTGACTCGTCCTCATCCAGCTCCGAGTACTCACTCTTTGGCCTGAGGTCAAACACAGGTCAGCACGAGGTTGCTACCGCTGCTTTTAGGGCACTTAAGTTCTTGGAGAGCCTGCTCCATCTCCGTCACCAGCAGCCATTGCCACCCCCACGCCCACCCTAAACACCTGCCTCCACTCTAATCTGGAACATACCATTCCTCGGGCTTGGGGTACACTGTGTGCCTCAGGGCATTGTCTGGATCGTATTCAAAAGCCACCCCTGCAGTCGGGTTCCACTTGGCATGTTCTTTGCCAAAACCTTTTTTGGCATAGGCTCGCAGTCTCAGCTCCTGGCCCTTTCTCAACTTGACGATGAGAATGTCTGCAGGGAGAGGTGCGAGTCAGCCAAGGGCAGGAGAGGCATGGATCTCCAAAGCCTGACTGGGGTGTCACCAGGAGACCATGCACATCTGGGAAAATGGGTCTAGATCCCATTTACAAGGATACCAGGTGGCACAAGAGGCTGTGTCTGGCCTCTGCTTCCCTCTTGTCCGCACAGCACGAGGTCAGGAAGGTGTCTGCCCGCTCACTCCAGTGCCTTACCGTCCTGCTCCACGTAGTCATTGGGGTCATTATCTCGGTTCCGGGATGTCACCTGCAGGGAGCCCAACCAGAAGCATTTATCAGCCACTCACCTCCCAGTCACCTCCTCTGCCCACCATCTCCCAGCACCAATCTGTCATCCAGGGAAAAGGTGCTTGAGGAGGCAGCAGAGGTGCCTCTCAGGATGCCGCCCCACACTTCGAGGTACGGTGACAGCCTTCTCAGTCAAAGCAATGCCACGGCCTTTAAAAGGGTCCTTGGGTGACACATAGCACCGATAATGCTTCTGCCCAGGAAGAATCCAGAACTAGCACTTCTAGGCATCAGGTTAAGGGAGAGGGTAATAGGGAAGCCAACATTTTGTAAGGTCAGCCTCAGTCTGGCCCACTTGGAGCCAGAAAGAGAAAGAAAAGGGCAAAGGCCCCGGCAGGGAGGGTGCTCTTGTGCACTGACTGGAATGACCCGAAGGTTGTTGGAGATGAGGTCTCGAGACGTGACGTGACGAGTCTGGTCTTCATTGCACCGCACGTCGAGGGTGAACTCCACCGAGCACTCGGGGCAGAACTCTTCACACGTGCAGTCCTGAGGCAGGAAGTGAAGCAGGAATGAGGCTACTTCTAGACAGTGGATCCTGACTTGGCTCCCTGCTTCCAATACCCAGTTCCTTACGTTTCTTCAGCTGTAAACGGGTTGGTGACAGTCTCCAGGCTCTCAGGGCTGGGACAGTCCGGTTTCCCATTCTCATGGACTGCCCAAGTTTAGAGACAACCTATATGCACGTGCTGGTACCCACGTTTCCTTCCCACCCCACCGGCTGCCAGGCCCCTGCTGGGAGGCGCGCTGCTGACGTCCATCTCACTGCGGCCCTCAGAGAGCCAAGGCTACCAAGGGAGGAGACGACGCTTTCACACTCTATAGTTCAGCTGCCCGTGAACTAAGCGGACCAGCCTGGGAATGTAACCATCAGCTAAAATAAAACGAGCCAGGGCCGGGCGCGGTGGCTCACGCCTGTAATCCTAGCTCTCTGGGAGGCCGAGAAGGGCGGATTGTTTGAGCTCAGGAGTTCGAAACCAGCCTGAGCAAGAGCGAGACCCCGTCTCTACTAAAAATAGAAAGAAATTAATGGG